CTTCAGAAGGTCAACGCGGTGACGATACGAGACGTGGGCTCCGTGCCGCACGCCGATTTACTGGCAGAAGGCGCGGCARGTAGGTCRATCTATTCGGTCTGTGATCTGTTCTCAGGCTATGATGAGGTACCRCTTGACCCTAGGGACAGACACCTCAMGGCTATGCATACGCCATTGGGACTAATTCAAATGATGGTTGTCCCTATGGGTTGGACTAATGGGGTAGCCGTTTTTCAGAGAGCCATGGTAGCCGTCCTCAAGGACTTCATCCCTGATAAGGTTGAAGTTTTTCTGGATGACTTTCCTATAAAAGGACCAGTAGACAGGGATGAGACAGAGGTTATACCTGGAGTTAGAAGATTCGTCGAGCAACACCTAACAGACCTTTGCGCGGTACTCGAGCAGCTGAACGATGCGAATTTGACAGTCAACGGGACCAAGAGCCGATGGGCCGTCTCGACTATTAAGATCTTGGGCTTTATATGTGACTCGAGAGGACGCCGAGMAGACCCGGCGAAGTTAGACAAACTCCTGAACTGGCCGTCACCGTTACATAGCCCAACCGAGGTCCGACAGTTTCTGGGAGTGGTCGGTTACTGGCGTATATTCATACGGGGTATGCGGAGAAGGCTGAGCCATTGAGATTACTCCTTCGAAAGACTGAAAAATTCTATTGGGATTCTTCGCAGGAACTCGCAATGCAAAAACTTAAGGACGAATTTAAGGAGGGAGGACGCGTGTTGGGCGTGCCATTCTTTGACGATGAGACCAAAAAACCTTTCATAGTATCCACGGATGCTGGACCATGTTCAGTGGGTGGTTTGCTGTCTCAGAAGGACGCTGGAGGGAAGGAAAAACCGTTAAGATTTGAGAGTAAGACGCTTAATACGGCTGAGCGTAACTACAGTCAATTCAAGAAGGAGGTGTTAGCTGTTCTCCGGTGTCTAGACACGTTCAGACACTATATCTATGGGTGACGGTTCATCTTGAGAGTAGACCCCACCGCGGTTGCCTCTGTCCTCCAGAAGGACTTTAGTCTGACGGACCCGACCATCACCCGATGGCTAATACGGATTCGGCTGTACGATTACACGGTCGAAAGAGTATCTGGTACTAAAAATGCCGTGGCAGATGGACTTTCACGCATGCCTCTCGAGCGTCCGATAGTAGCTGGGGCTCTGACAGTGGGAGAGCCGAGGTGCGCTGAGAGATTTCTAGTTAATCTTTACGAGGGCAAGTACCGAATGATCGGACTACACCTGACGGGAGAAGAGAGTCAAGATTTAGATATCCGGAGGCAAGCAGCCCCGTACTGCCTTAGAGCGGGCCACCTTTTCCGAAGGCCAGTAGGGTCGGGAATGCCCTTACGAGTAGTCTGTGA